CAATTGAACCCAACCTGCAGAATAATCACTATTCTGCCCGGCGTCATCAACTCACTTGCACAGTCGTAACTAAATCCAAGCACAGTATAAACACAATTTCAAAAGCTTCTGGACAGATTTAAATTATTTTCAATGATTAGAGATTAGCTCCCCCTAATACGATTTCTGCATGTGAACAAAATGTGAGACGAACTACGTAAATTGTACAATATGGTAAAATAATAAAAATAGAAAAATAGAAGCTACAAACTAAGATCTAATGTTAAACAAGAAGAAAAAAGATTATGAGCAACTTCATCAGATAAGCAGCAGAAGAAGGTAATGGTAAGTAGTGAGTGCCATATATGCACATGGACGATATGGATTTCCAAGTTGGATCAAGATAACATGTGTAATAACTTGAGTGCGAGGATATCAAATAAACAAACAACTGTGAAGCAAGCAGATAAAGCTACAATCCATCATTCTAATTCGAATTTTGTTCGTGTGCAAATTAACAAGTTTTAAATTTAATTGTCGGTAAGTAAAATAAGTTTGAGCTTAGTTAAGAGTGTCGGTAGTAATATGGATGATGATAATTAGAGTCGACCTCTCTTCTTGGGAAAAGAGGATATGTTAGCCTTCAGAATAATATTATCTAGCACTAGTTTAGGTGATGTTGGATGTTTATATAAATTTGTTCAATGAAGTTGTGATGTATTTTAACTTTTGAGCAAGTCTACGTGGGACTCCCTGGTTGGGATGAAGAAATTTTTTGTAATGGTTCAATGTTTAAAGATGTATTCAAATTTCATTAGACAACAATGTATTGGAAAAATTGAATTTGTAGGTGACTTTGGCATGAATTTTGAGCGGGACCCGACTATTTTGGAATATGAAAGTTGATTTGTGCTCTCCTTCGTGAGTATATCGAAACCATATACTTGTCAAAAATGATGCTCGGGTGAATGAGAAATTGAAGCTCAAAGTATGCTATATGAAAGGAGTTTATGTTGGTGGAAAAACTAAAAATAAGTTTGTCCCACACAGGAAGTGGATGGAAACTAAAACCACTTTATAAAGGATTGCACTTTAAAATGGTGTAATCATGTGTAGTATAGAGGCTCTCTCCACGTGCGCGCACAGGGGGTGCAAATCACGGATCGAAATAGGTATCGAACCTTGAACTTGTGTGCGGGCGCGACCTACGTACACGAATATCGAACCGGATTGACCAAAAATTGGCCCCTTAGAAGAGCCTACGTTTTGCTACATTTTATTTTATTTTTCGACTGAGTTTTCATTTTCTGAAACAGTTGAAACTCCTAAAACTCCTGTTGTAATTACCATGAAGTAAGTGGGCAAGTTACAAGATCCAAAGTCTATATATACCTCGATTTTTTCCAATTTTTCGTACAATAATTCAACTGGATATTCATCTGCATACAGTTGAAGTTTTGTCTCTGTTCTTTGTTTTCGTTTCTGTTTGAGTCAGGTGGTGATATTGTTCGGGCTCTAACTCAGTTCGTCGGAGTAACTTCAGTGGTGCTCAGACCCCACTGGTCTTTCGTTGTATACTTGAAAGCAGACGCTCAAATTACATATCCAGGACGTACGGTGAGGGGGCAAATCTGTTTTAAGGAAAATGTGTGTAACACAGGCCTCGGGTTAAAAGTTCAATTTCGTATTTTATATTATTGTTCTATTTTATTGTAATTTTGTTTCTGAAACCACTAATTCAGATTAACAAATTCGGTGTTGATCTGTATTAGTTCACTAGTTATCATATTTTCCTACAAGCTTAAAACAGATTCTTGAAAGGAACTAATATTTGTTTCATTTTCAGAAATGGCAACCGATTTAACCAACATGGATGTAACCCAAGTTGTGGCTAATGAAAATCAGGCAGTGGGCTCTGCTATGGCTCAAGGGCCAAGTTCTATTGTGGCTCAGACTGTGGCTAAATTGCCACGTCATGTTGTGAGTCAAACAACTGGTCATACCGTTACTGTTCCAGTTAATCATGATGAAAAATCGGAGAAATTCAGTGGCTTGAATTTCAAGAGGTGGCAATAGAAAATGTTGTTTTATCTTACCACCTTGAATCTTGCGAGATTCTTGACTGAAAGTGTTCCAAAACTCAATGAGAGTGAGGGAGACATTCAAGCGATCAGTGCACTTGATGCTTGGAACCATTCGGATTTTTTATGTCGAAACTACATTATGAACAGTTTAGCAGACACACTATACAACGTGTATAGTATTATGAAAACCGCTAAGGAGTTGTGGGAGTCTTTGGACCGAAAATATAAAACTGAGGATGCCTGGGCTAAAAAGTTCATTGTTGGCAGATTCTTAGATTATAAGATGGTGGACTCCAAAACTGTAATTAGTCAAGTGCAAGAACTCCAAGTAATTCTTCAGGAAATTCATGCCAAAGGGATGATGTTGAGTGAAACTTTCCAAGTGGCTACAATTATTGAAAAATTACCCCCTCGCGTAGAAAGTTTTCAAGAATTATCTGAAGCACAAACGAAAGGAAATGAACGTCGAAAAACTAATTGTTAGACTTCGAATTGAAGAAGACAACAAGAGTTCCGAGAAGAAGTTGTTCAATCCTAGTGTTGTTAAAGCTAATGTTGTGGAGCATGGTCAAAGCAGAAATGCCAATTGCAAAAGAAAACGTCCTTGCACACTGAGTAAGCACGGGTTTGAGAAATGTTTTGTAGTGAAAAAAGAGAGTAAAAACAAAGGGAGATTATTCATTTGCTGCAGCAACAATTGTGGATTTTGGGAGTGGGTTGATGACGAAGAATCAAGTGGTCCGTATAAACGCGATAGCACAAGCTAAATTAACCCCGCGAAAAATGAAACAATTGAAGACTTATCCCGAATGCTCCAGTCTCAAGTTCGAATAAGTGATGACAAGGAGCTCCAGATTTCAGTGAACGTCATGATCCGGACTGAAAAAATAATCGCGCAAGTTGATGCCAAAGGAAAGCAGCCAGCTTGAACAGTGAACGTTTGTATGCATATGTTTTGTAGTAGTACCAAAACTGAATGTAATGATAGTTTGTGTATGGTAGTTTGTGTAAGGATAGTTTGTGTACGAACTCTTATGCTTCGTTAATGCATGGTTTGTATGTGGTTGGTAAAACTATTCGATCTGTATGAGGTGAAATTCATTTGGCCATGCTTTCAGTGCTTATCTTACTAGCAGTGTCTACTTGTGTTATACATTTTTTTTAAGAACGGTTACTTTTAACAATATACTCTATGGCTTAAAAATACTAGTAGGAACATAATGACTCTTGTGCAAGGAACAAGCAGATTGAAAAAATAAAAATAGTAGTTTGAATAAGATGTAGAATATAATGTAGCTGCACAAAACCAACATAACACAGTGGAGACCAGTGACAAAATTAGAAAATTAAGCTTCTTGCCATCAATGTTTAGTTTTTTTAATGCACTAACTTAATGGCTAACATAGTTTGAATAACATTACAAACTAAACAATTATTTCTCAGCAAGATAGACCAATGAAGCAAAGTGAACATCCCAGTCACGAGTATTTTCCATCTTCACGAGGTAAGCCTGGATAGTATAATGACATAGATTGCCCTACATTAAAAAATAATCCGAATGGTTACTAACGAAACTATGAACAAACTTAGTTTGAACTCATAACTAAGATAATCGTTTATACCTTGTAAATTATACATAAAGTTTGTCGGCGACGGATGAATGAACGAGCGAGGCTATTACACCTGCCTAGACCGATTATCTGCCCAAAATACATTTTGTAGCCACGACTCTTCATCCAAATCAATACTAAAGTAAAATCCCGAGCATTCTGCTTGCATTTTTTAAAATTAGGATTGAATTGATGCCGCGTCTTCTTCTCCAAGATGTAATCACCTCGCTCGTTCTATATAGTTCCAACAATCATTTTCAATACAAGTCATGTTCTCATATCCACCTGCTTCTATAACTGCAGGGTTGTAACTTTTATACAACACAATTCCTGCCAAGTAATTCACCTGAAGCTTCCGTTTCATAGATTCACTCAAGTGTCTGTTGCATCGATATAACCTTGATTTAGAAGGATGTTTCATGATTGTGATCAACGTTTACCGCGTTAATTCTCCGATTTCCAAAACCATCAGAAGATGCAAATATTCTGGCTTTACAGAACATCTTAACAGTTGGTTGTGACTTCAAAGAACCGCTGCTATTCCCAATTCTTCCGCCTTCCCGACTACATGTCAACGTCACATATCTCAAAACTCCATCATCGCCCTTTTTAGAATTCCTTTTCTTCACTGGAAACCCCACTGTGTAAGCATATTTCATGTAAAAATCGTACATATCTTTCTCATTTTTGAACAACATTCCCACCTCCGACACAATTACACCAACTCCCTCAGATGTTTCACCTTCCACTAAGTCGACAAACTCTTTCACCTTCTCACTCTCAGATTGCACCAAAACATCGTCCTGCTTGTCATGCACGTCGTCCATACTTTGTTTTGCTACGAATGCTACGAAAAAAAGTAATGGTCATTTTTTTCAACAAATAAAACAATTATAATTTCATTCGGTATAGTTAACAACAAATAAATATGTAGTAAATTTGCAAATGTGACAAGTCAAATTTGATCACTTCATCTTTCAACACATACCCATGGCTTACCAAACTGGAAAAATTATAACAACTTGATAGAGAAAAATAGCTAAACAACCTATTCAGGGAGTTGGAACAAAACTTGAATTCATTATCTTTTTCTGGGTTGTAAATTTCTTGCTTAAAAGCTACATCTTAATCATATTTTTTTGGGTTTTTACAATTTCTGGGTTTGAAGATTGAGAAATATTAAAAAAGGATTTGTAGTTCTATTTTAATATCTGCATTTGTATATGCTTCACAAGTATAGCCCCAAAAAAATGGGTTACTAACAGTAAGAAATCCACGAAAAATTAGAACATGAATTGACTTATATATTGAATACTGAAGTTTGATAATGCGATTCTCTTTTACAGTGGGAAATGAAATTCCTATTTCTCAAGTTCGAGATGATGTAGCACATGCATTTAGAAAGGAAATCGAATGGCAATCCTTACAAGAAAATGTGTACTCTAAAAAAGGTGAAAAATAAACTGCCTCATGAAAGTCTGTAAGTGATGTAAAACTGAGTTCAGATGCTTATTTTCCTGATTTCACGTGCAGGTGCAAGAGAAAATTACATAAATTGAGTCAGATGATGTGGTAACTGCAATATCACTGGAAATATCAAGATGCAAGATCAATAAGCTTGTTATTGGAGCTTCTTCTTGTAGGATATTCTCAAGGTAGATTTTCGAACATCTTAACTTCTTCTATTTCACCTCCATCATCGATTTGTATCGTACCTGTATAGTTACTGTCTGCGGGTCGAACAGAGCTGCGGGTCGTCCCAAATCCCTCCGGAGTTCAGCTTCGAACAGAGCCGCGGAGTTCAACCGCAATGGAATTTGTAGTGGGAGTTATGTGGCTGAACAGAGGGAGCTGGATAGGAAATGGGTGAATTTTTAGTGGTAGTTATGTGGCTGAACAGAGAGGAAAATGGGAACGACGGCGCGATTGGAGAGGAAAATGAGCAGAAAAGGAAAAGGATTTTCCTAGTTTGGGTTGGTTTCCCTCCAAACAATTTGACACGTCACTAATTTTAAATCCATGTTTTTAGATCTGTTTGCTGCCCTGTGTCAATAGCATTTTTAATATTAAAAACCATTCTTACTCAAAGTCTACTTTTTGAAATCAATTTTAAACCAATTTCTTGCAATACATGGAACCCCACTTTACACACAACTCGTCATAAGCTAGGTCATAATTACTTTTGTGTGTGTGTATATATATATATATATGATGATAGAGCTTTTACACACATACTTTTGTGTAAGTGGTTCGTTTCTTTATACTTTTATATTCAATAAATATGAATGAATTGTCAGTGGACATTGGAGTTCTTTATTAAGATATATGAAATCCTTCGAGAATTTAAGATGACATAAAATGTATGTGTCGTTTGGTCACTGATATACTTTATAAGAGAAGAGTGATACGAAGTGTCATTTTATTGTTATTTAATTGTATATGGAAATTGCAAGTATCTTACTTGATGTTTTTAAATACTCACACTTACAATATTTTTTTAGGTTAGTTTGAAACTGTGGCAGGAAGGTGATGCGGCCTGCCAGAGGATTTGAAGAAACAAAATTATTAGATTTTCTATCTTTAATTGATTAGTTAGTTTCATTTATGTTCAAAGATATGTTTATTTAAATAGTAGTTGAGTGCGTTTATTTCGAACAATAAAATTTTAATATGTAGTTTAAATTCATGGATAACCCATATTTTTATCAAATAAATTAGTTTTATCGTTCCATATTTAATGTAAAGAAAAATAAATTTTTAGTAACACTCCAAGTTTCATGAAAATTTGGGATATTACACTTAATCAATACTAATTGGCTGACGTGATACATTCTCTCCATAAAGATAAGAATATAGTACATGAATTCATTGACTATAGTTAATGATATAAAATAAATAAATAAAAGAAAATGAATCAAAAGATCAAATACGATAATACATTCTATAACTTTCATGAATCAACCAATGTTTCTACTTCATTTAAATATTGACGAATCAATATGGGTTCCTTGTTACCATACAACCACTTTTTAGGGCAACTACTGCCTCAACCATATTTGCACTCAACGAACTCTTAAATGAATCAAGAATCAGACTACTAGTAAGAAATGTAGATTGAGAAATAATTATAGATATTTGAATAGTTAACACTTCTTTAACAATTTAAGGGGGACAATCTTGTATTTATTTGCATTCATTTTCCACCAAAGTAATATGACAAATGCTCATTGGTCAAATCTTCAAAACGACCATTTAAGTAATTCATCGAATCATTCTTGCAATTAACAGTAAAATCTAGAAACTATGTTAATATATAAATAATTAATTGACTTACATGACTAGAAAATTGAGATGTAAATAAACAAAAAATATTGTTCTCTAAACATTTAATGGAGCCCGACATAAATTAAAATAAAACAACACTACTACCAATAAAACATAGCAAACAATTATCAAAAAAATAATTTTTTTGGGATAAACTGACCTAAAAATTTAGCCGAAATTCGAGAAAATTATTAGTAGAAAAAAAAATATGGGTAAGTTTGAATTAAAATCTATTTAGTAGCATTTGTTCGACGCTTCACCTAATTTGAGAGTTTTGCGTTCAGAGTTGTGACGATAGATGAGTATTTGTATTTAATTTAATTAATTAATTGGGATTTTTCTATTTACGTATTATTTTAATTGAGTTATGTCTAATATGGATGTATCTTTTTAATTAGGATATGTTTAGTTTTAATTAGGTTGAATAAAATCTAGATTAATTTATTTTCAAATTATTATTATTTTTTTGGTAAATGGTTTGGCGGTTTGAAAAAATTGATACCTAAATCAAATCACTTTGAAGCGGTTTGGTTCGGTTGAAAATCAAAACATTGACGAATCCACATGGATCTAAACCAACAGTTTCAAAAAAATTCTGTTCAATTTTGCGGTTTGGCTGTTTCATTGTTCAGCCCTACTCAATATGAAGATAAGTCTAATTTAGAACAAGCATATTCAAAAAGACCAGAGTCCCCTAATCTTTCGGATATGCAACTTCCATCTACATCTGAAAGATTAGAAAAACAATTAAATATTATTTCTTCTTCCATAGATAGAAGAAGAGAATTCAAAATAGATAAAACACCTCAAGCTAAAGTCTTTAGAAAGAATCTGAAAAAAAAATGTTTTCTAAAGAAGAATTGGAATCATTTTGGGAGAATTGTATTCTTATCCAGATTTAAATTTCTTTCAATGTGCATAAATCGATATTTTGGGAAATTCAAAGCAAAAATTTGTTAATATGACTCATTCTACAGAAAAAAATGAAAAACTACAAGTAGAGAAACTTTTCAATCGGAGTATCCTCTAATGAACGAAATTATTTTTCCTCGTGGAAAAAATGAGGTAATTGCTTCTCCCCTCCGAGCCACGAAACTTGGGCTCGGCTCGAGCCAAAAAGGGCCGATCTTTTTTTTGACCCGAGCCGAGCAAAAGCTCGGCCAAAAAAATGAGGCTCGGCCCGAGCTTTTGGTTCGAGCCATAGTGGGCCGAGCCGACTCGATTTGTTTTTTTTTTTTTTTGGGAAAAGTTTATGGTTCAGAGGTNCATGTTAGATGGGAAAAGTTTATGGTTCAGGGGTTTACTTTCAACAAATTAAAAATCAGGTACCAAAGTTTTAAATTACAAAACTCAGGTTTTTCTTGAATTAATTAATTACATTTCAGAATTATTATATTAAATTAAATATTTAACTGTAATATAATAAAATTAATCCACCCCACCCCACCCTACCTCCCCCATTGCTCCGGCGACTACTCCAACAGCACTTAATTCCGGCGACTGCTCCTATCCGGTGACTTTTTCGAGGTCACAGATCAAAACATTTGTAGGTCACGGGTTATTTCAAGGTCACAGATAAAAAATTTTGTAGATCGCAGATTATTTCGAGGTCACAGATTTAAAATTTTATAGATCACAGATTATTTCGAGATCACGGACCAAAAAAATTAAGGTCATAGATTCTTTTTTTAAGTTACAAATTTTCAATTTCAAAGTCACAGTTCAATAGTAAGTTCACAAACACCAAAAAGAACCACAATAGCTAGGTCATAGCCACCCAAACACCCTT